TATTATTAGTACTTGAATAAGAGACATGTTTCATGCTTTATAACGCTTGGAATGATCGTTAAAGATTCATATGACAAATAAAGAAAATAGAAATGTATTATATCAAAAATGGCATAAATGGCATACGTTTTATGGCATAAATGGAAATTTTTATTGGCCAATTCTCCATTATGCCATTGGTACCCCCCCCCCCCCCCCCCCCCCCCCCCGACCATATATAGAGGCCGTATAGTGGCCGTATAGAGGCCAAACCTAATCGCCTAATTTCCCCAAAAAGCCAAAACCTGTCTTTCGCTAACGTGGAGAGGCTATTCAGAGATGCTAGCTTCATAAGAGAGACAGCGAGGTTCCTGGTGAGAGCAAACAACATGCGTTTCCCGAAGAAGGAAGTCACTAAGAAGGATCAACTGAAGGCCAGCTGTAAAGTCCCGCTAGTGCTACACCTCAACAGAACTCCTCTGCGGATACGTGACGGCTAAGTTGAACTTCATTTTATTATGACACTGAACTGTTGTTATTCGGTTACTAATTCATATCATCATATCATATCATTATGGAACATGTTCATGGGAATTTGGGAAATTGGGAGTTAAATTAATATATTCGCACTTGTTTCTCTTTCGATAAAGATGTGACGAAGTTAAATTTTAATGATTTTTTTAAATTTTAATTTTAAGAACACTCTTGCACATTAATTATTTATTTACGACGTAGTTTATGTCGATATGATCCTTCAGCCGTTTCAACAGAGCATGCATTGGGATGGATCGATTAAAAATGTCATGTCCAAGAGGAGCTCTAACCCTTTAAGTGCAATAGCTCAATAGGACTTTGGTACAGTTTTGTGCAGTAGGAACGGTGATGTCATTATATTAATTATAAAGCCCTATAAACAATGTAGGCTTAATAATATTCGATATTCATGTCATATATGCTCTACTGAAATTTTGGTTTCCTTTAAAATTAGTCTCATGAAATTTGGTTTACAACAATTTTAGTCAAAAGTTTGACTAAATTTATAGACTTAATTTGTCGTTCTTTAGGTACACAATGTTTTGGGATCTTAATTCTTATAATGTAAAGTTATAAAATTATAATATTGAATACTCTACTTCAATTTGGCTAATCACCAGCTCAACTATAGCCCCAGCTATCCTGCCAACCTTATTGTAAAACCTCCTAGATGAGGGTAATTCTATAGGTTAATACAATAATTATTATAATAATCAATATAATTGTTACAGCTAATCCATTGTTACAGCTCATTATTAACCTACCTATCTATTGAACCTATTGAGAGGATTAGAAGTGGGCATCTTCGCGGTCATCACGCAATCTGCGGACCACCTCCTTGACTGTTTGTGATTTGACTCTGGGTAACGCTCCTCCGACCTGTACTACCTCATTAATCCAGATCTTACTTATTGTCATACGGACTGTTTTAGATTCCTTATCAACAGATAATTTGTCTACCTCTCTTTATCCTAATTATGACCCAATTAGCTTAACCCACTCTGTAACTGTCGTGAGTGTAATTCATTATGGTCATGGTCCGGCCATCTATACTCCGGCCGTCTAATTTTGTTATTATAACTGGGTTGATTTGTGAGTGATAACGCTGCTTATCTTTTAACAGCAACACATTTTTCGGGTTACATGGCCGATATAACGGTTTTGATATTATTACATGGCAAATTTTAGGAACCCGTTAATGGACCTGTTAGTGTGTGGGAAATGAGCGCAACTGTCGGTAGGCCTCGACCAGATAATTTTTTAGGATAGTTAGGTTATTAGCTCCCACTGCACCATGAGATCAGTATCATGTGCTAGTGCGAAAGACATATTCTATTCGTTGTAACTCATAGTAGGGGTTCCTGTTGGCGTTTTACAGCATCCTTAATAATATCATATTTTAATTATAAATTCTTATGGATGACACGGGCCATGATTAGCAACAGCGCACGTGTTCTCGAGTGGCCACGTGAGCGCTCTTATAATCTGTATATAGTGCACAGTTAGGTTTATAGCTCCCATCATAAGATCAGCATGTGCTGGCACGACAGACATAATTTATTTGTTATTATAGTATTATAACCACCTGCCTTCTAAAACTAGCAATATAATTAACGTCAACAGAGCAACAGGAGCCCCTACTTTACGCCTCACCCTGATAATGGCTCATGAGCCCAGGGAAAAGTTTACCATTACCCACGTCAATAAACATGTGTTGCCTGAAGCTTACAATAATTAGATAATTCTGTCCAATAGTTGCTGTTTTAATTAGATAATATTTTGCTGTTGAGTTATGACGTCCCCGTACTCCACCCTTTCTCACGGTTAAGTGGGCGCTCTTATAACTAGCAGGTTGCTAATCTTTGTATCAGTTGAGGCGCTTGAGCTTTCTTTCGTGTCCTCTCAGTACAGTGTTGTTGTTTACATTATTTATTCGTTTGCGTCAAAATTTTAAAGAGAGTTTATACTTTGCATTTGGGTGCATCAAATTTACTTCTTTAAGATCCTGAGAAACCACATTAAATTAAGATTTGAATAAGAACTAAGAGCGCGATAAAGATTTTAATAGCTGGCTACCCTGCTAAGATTAAAATCATTAAATAGTTCACAAGTCAAGTTCTTAATCCATTTAATCTCATTATGTCACACCTTCTAGAAGCTCCTCCCCAATCCCCTCTTATTCTATTATATTTGAAATCTGATTTATTTTCCTTTTTAGACGTTGAATACAATTGAAACTGTGGGATTCAAGTCGATTATATAATTATATTTTATAATCTATTATAGTGAGATATGAGTACAATACTAGTCAGTCTACTGATAGCTACAGTTCTTATCGGACTCTCGCCCAGTGTAGAAGGTATGTATTAATTAAGGGGGCAGGGGGGGCCGGGGTCTTCATGGAAATTTTCTCAAAATCGACTTTTTAGTTGTTTCTGATAGAGGGGAGTGATATCTATCAGATGCTTTTAATCCGATAGAAAAATATTGTTCCTAGCCGAAATTATCGCCGGTAAAAGGTCAGCGCTTGTGTGTAATTGTATTGCACGAGCGATTTTTGATGGCGTGCCCTGAAAATCGAGTCTAAAAATCTATCTCCTCCTACATTATTTGAGCAATCACCCTCAAACTTTCAGGATATGTTCTAGGGATCATTTAGAAGAGATTGTCCGGGCAAAATTTTGAGATAGGCCTTTAAACATTTTTTATTCGATTTTTAAAATTTTGGACCTCGAAAAATCGTCAAAAAACCAGGTCCAAGATTTTCAAAATCGAATAAAAAATGTTTAAAGGCCTATCTCAAAATTTTGCCCGGACAATCTCTTCTAAATGATCCCTAAAACATATCCTGAAAGTTTGAGGGTGATTGCTCAAATAATGTAGGAGGAGATAGATTTTTAGACTCGATTTTCAGGGCACGCCATCAAAAATCGCTCGCGCAATACAATTACACACAAGCGCTGACCTTCTACAGGCGATAATTTCTGATAGGAGCAATATTTTTCTATCGGATTAAAAGCATCTGATAGATATCACTCCCATCTATCAGAAACAACTAAAAAGTCGATTTTGAGAAAATTTCCATGAAGACCCCCCCCTGCCCCCTTAACTTGAGAAACCGAATAATACGTTATTTTTCTAATGAACACTTGGCTGATAATTTTGCGGCAAAGAAAGCAGAATTATTTGAACTTTACTTGCTTTTTGATAGAATCAATGCCATTTAAATAATTGTTATTTTCATTAAATTATTTTATATAATAGCTTATATTGTAGAAATATAATATGAACTATTCATAGAAACCGATGGTATTTACTCATTTACATCTTAGGTACCCAGTACAGTGAGTGGTTCCCAGTTCCCGGGGACAAAAGCACATTTGTAAATGAAATAGTGGAGAGTAAGAAGTTCCAGATGCAGACTGATAAGAAGATAACTAATGGTAACGACATCAGATGGACGATGGGAGGAGTAGGCTGGTTCACATTCGATACGAATACCATAGGGGCTTCCAAATGCAATGGTGGCTACACTCTAAAAGGAACAGAAGGATTCCTCAAGCGAGCTGGTGTTCTGACCTTCCTGAAGACTACCACTCAGTTGCAAGTCTGGTTTGATGATGTTCTGGAGGTCACGTGGATATATGAAGATAACAAGTGTGCAATGAGGAACAAGATGACAGGATTGAGATTTCACGCCTCATCATCTAGTAAATACGATAAAGTCTCCACACACTACAGATATGAACTTGGTAATTCATCCCAATTATCTGCTACAGTAACAAGTGATTGGCATCTAATCATAATATGTCATTTATAGTGTATAACTGTATAAGAAATCGAGGTGACCTCATTTTTACGAATATATGTTTGAGGCCAAGTTCACGTTGAAGATGTTACACTATTATTCCCATTTCAATATTAATAAACTAAACACAACACATCCCACAGATCTATGTATGGGTCTGAAACCAGCCTGGAGTCAGCTGAAAACAGAAGCAACATTTCCTGTAGAAGCAGGAACAGTGCTGACAGTGTCATGTGAAGAGGGGTTCCTACGGAGAGGCAGCAACACTATCACCTGTACTGAGGGCACCACCTTTTCTAGTGATACAACTCCAACTTGTGGAGAGTTAGGTGAGTATTATTCATCGAAACGACAAATGGCGGCGCAGAGCAATTTAAACTTCAAAATATAACGAGCCAAAAGTTTGAAGAAGTTTCACTTAACCAAGATATCTATCCAGGAAGATCCGTATTAAAGGTTTTTTAATAGTTAATGGCAATGCATTTAAATATTGGAAGGTTATCCAATATCCATATACATTATTATATATATTTGTTTCGAAACGCGGCCGCCACTTACAGATTTGAACTCAGGTCACTGCTGGAAATTTCATAAGTAATTTCTCTCGAACTTATCAAAAAATATTGACCTTATCCCAAATATATTTGATCTAAAAGTGCTTGAAAATTGTAAGTCTTACCACAAGAGGAGCACCACTAGGAGCGTACTTTTCCGGACTCTCCAGGAATTTAATCTTACATTCCGGACTGCTGAACAGGTAAATCTTCTCCCGGAACCTGGCTCCAATCTCGTGATCTCCCGGCCAGAGGACATTCTTCTCGAGCAGGGTAACGGGGCAGTAATGTCTCGTCTCTCCCAGATTCCTCTTGTCAACCTGCGCAATTTGTTTTAAAAAAAGTTTTTTAGTGATGAAAAATATGTGTGTTTTATTTCTGACTATACTATCTTATGTTGATTATCGTTAATAAACGATTAAAAATAAAATCTTTGGAAAATTTCAGTGCGTTTTAAGCGTAACGGCTACGTGGAAGTTAAACGTGTCTTGTTAATCTAAGTATAATTGGTGATAATTTCTAACCTCCTCTTCCTCTTCCTCCTCCTCCTCTTCCTGCTCCTCTTCCTCATACGAGAAGTAATCAACTGATTTGTATCTGAATACGGAGTCCAGTTTGCCCACAGCATTCGACCTCATAGCTTCAAGGGCCACATTACACTCAATAGTTAACAGCTCCACGTCACTTTGTTTTATTATTGCCTCCAGCTGTGGTTTCTCGCGGTCAAATGCCTTGCGGTTCAGTACGCGTTGTTCAACTGAGGCCGGAACTTTGTCTTGGGCATTCTGAAATGAGTCAAGAATTAGGCATCAGGGTGATTTCAAGTTTCAGTGTTCAAACTTCAAATATAAAATTAATACCTAACAAAGTGTTTAACTCGCATCCCCGTATTCGTTAGATCTATATCCTTGATACAAACCTGACAAATACCATAACTATTAACTAATAATAATAATTATCCGAAAAATTTAAATCTTAATACCTCTTGTTCTTCTGACTCATCCAAAGGAGCAAGTCCGTCTCCGGTTTTCTCACCAGCTGGTTTAGCCTTCTTTTTCTCCACTGCTTTTATCTGTGCTGCTGTGAGCGATATCTGAAAAATTAAATCTTAAGGTCAAGGTCTTACCAGTTACCAGACTTAAAATCGATACGAAAGTTTGTTTTTTTTTATTGTTACATAGCTGTGGAAATGTACGGTAATTTGTTTTCTTAAGAATGAACTTTGTATAGAAGCCGGTAACATTCTAACCGGGGGTCTCTGAATAGCGGCCCATCTCTTCAGCAGTTCCCCATTCTCAGGGTCAGGATCGTTCAGGATAATAAACGAATCAGGAGTAAGCAGCTTATCAGCTCTCTCAGTCATCATGGTCCACTGGTCTCGAGTAAGAGGGAAGTTGTCCAGGATCCAGCCGCCGTACTCAGGATCCCCTTTAGTTTGATGTCCGGTGATAACCGCCCGAATAGCTTCTTCAAGCACCGAGCAGTACATCTCAGGTGATATCTCCACTTCGTGGTTACGAGCTTCAACTGTGACACGTTCTACTTGTTCTCGTACCAGCGGGTGTTCTTCTGAGATCTGGAAAGGGTAATATTAAACAGTGATCTAGTAGAGATTAATCAAGAATACATACCGTCCCTATTCTTAATACTAGATATGAATGTGAAGACTTCAACGCAAATCGAAGAATTGAAAACATCAGATTTCTGTAACAACTTAATTTGTTCCACGAGAGCACTCACCTCGGGAAGAATAATCTGACCCTCCTCATCGAAAGTGAAGCCGAACTTCTTGATCATATCATTCTCTCGCTCCAGTTCCTCCTTCTCCTGGATAATCTTCTCCTGTAAGTTGGACTCCTCTGATTCTACTCCCTCCTCGACGGTAGGAGCAGCTCCTCCTTCCAACTCTCCATCCTCGGCCATTTCAGCTGCTAGCATTGCTCGTCGTGTACGGCCTAAACAAGAGAGACGGTAGTTTCGTGTACAGATACACGTTATTAATAATGGAAACCACGTGATAGCATGTTGGTGTTACCCCAATATTGTGAGCACTGGAACCTAACAGTGTGGAAAATGCTACAGATACATTTTATAAAAGTGTTCATATTTCAATTACAGGGTGGGGGGGGGGGGTCAACCTCATTTTACCTCATTTTACCTCATTTTACCTCATCCCAATGTTGCCTTTTTTGGCTGGCCTCGTGAGGTAAAATGAGGTAAATCTCGGCAAAAATTTTAACAGGTAAAATTCTCTAAATCGTCAATTTAGTCACGAAGGAGTATGGAAGGAGTTCTAAATGTGAAGAAATGGTTAACTTTAGTCGAGGTCTCAGGTCTCTACAATGTCGGGAAGTTCCTGCAGGAATTTGCGCATTGCGCTTGAAGCGCAAGATTCACAGTGCCAAAAGCGAAGGTCGTAGAGACATGAGACCTTGACTAAAGTTAACCATTTCATACCATTGCTATAAGAGTATGCCACTTTCAGAGTCCTGAACACACTCCCATATCTCTTAATCGTCAATTACATGTATATGAATTTTACATGTAGTAAATTATATTTTTGACAAAAGCACATCTTATTTGATACTTATAAAATATATGTTTATAGCTTTTTTGATTATGCATTGTAGGTTTATAACCTAACATGTACCAAGACGCACGCCGAGTTGGACGGGGAATCGTTTAAAATCACCTCTTACGCTATTAAGTGCTTTTTATGGAGAATACGTCAGTAGCGTTTTTGAGCATGTAATGGCATGCAGCTGACGCAGAAAAGGGTATTTTGGTTCAAACTTGACATATACGTTGCATACCACTTTTCGCGCGCGATATTTGTGATACTTAAAGTTAACATTGAACATGTATCAAGTTCAAACTTTGAACTTAAAACTTTAAGTTTAAAGAATTAAAAGTAGCCGTATTGATCCTCCACACCTATGAGTATGACGTTTATGAACTAAAATTAGCTTTATTTTGCCGTTAAACTGCAGCTTATACTTTTTACTTCATGATTGGGTCGTAATCCAAAAAATAATTTGACAAGAAGTGGGGCTTATCGGGTCACTTACCGTCACCGGTCACTCTTAAGATTATTGACGTTGGTTCAGCAATGTCAGCTATGCTGAAATGCAATGTTATTGTTGTAACAATGTATTGTTGATCGTCAATTTGGCTCAAATTCCTGCCCCAGGAAGGGGGCAACGTATATTATATTAGCTATTAACTATTGTTACAATACTGCATTCCAACATAGCTGACACAACTTGTTTTCGTTCCAGTCTTGTGGTCCTGGTTCTGACACGGAGATACAGCTGTACCCCGGCAAAGTGCCAGCCGAACTCCATTTGAATTGTTTAGACCAGTGTGGGTAGCTGGCTAGAGATGAAGAGGAGTGCGGAACTCAACATGGTCATTTCGTAGTGATGCTGAGTTTAACTGTCAGAGATTTTATATAACGTGAGCTCGATAAGATGTGCTACTTTTAATAACAATAGTCGTCAATGATCTCTTTTGTGCAGGCTATAGTGTTGTCACCGTCCCTACTTTTTATATGTTTGTAAACATAAAAGAAGGGGCGCGGCGGGTGTAATCTTCAGGTAAATCAATATCCTGCTACTCTGTACCAAGTTCGACACACGAACATCTTAAGTTTTTATTATTTTGCTCTTTTGCGCAACTTCTCACCTGAACAAAGAAATTCAACAAAGAAGTTTGCAGGAGGGCTTCCTTTTCATTTGTTTTGTCATGTTCATGTAAAACTCATAACCATTTGGTGTCTTCATTCTTAGAAATATTGGGGTCACGACAATATTTGTCAACACTATTTTCGCGATCTTAATTCTCAGAATAAAGAAACCGTTAAAGAAAGGTTCTGGAAACATAGTATGATTGATACAATGAAGATTAATCGTTATCTGATAGTCATAATCGTAATCTGATATTTCGGATTTCAGGGTACAATAATAGCAAGTGCGAGACCATGTTGTTGCCTAATCAAACAAATAATTTGCATGTTAGGCCCTAAACAATCAAATTCTTGTTTTACTAGCCTGTCATGTACGTGACCAAAACAGTTTTGTTGCCCATAACTCTCCAGGGAAGCATTAATTTGACCGCCTAGGCCTACGTCATATGGGGGTGATTCGGAATCAGCCTCCAAAAATACACCGAAAAAGATTACTTTTATACCTTCAGGGCCTTTTCACAATAATTTTCTTAAAATTTAGATGAGCGATTTAGTAGGAGCACGTTGGTACAGCAATGTCAGCTATGTTGAAATGCAATGTCATTGTTGTAGCAATGCATTCATGTTGATCGTCAATTTGGCTCAAATTCCTGCCCCAGTCTTCCTGCTTATCTTAAAGTTAAATGTTTTTACAGGCTCTAATGATGTAGTTTTACGAAGATTTCAAACCTGTGTTTCCCTTCGTGTCCAGCATTATACTCTTAAGATTGTTGACGTTGGTTCAGTAATGTCAGCTATGTTGAAATGCAATGTCATTGTTGTCAGTAGATTATATTTGTTTCAAATCGTCGCGGCCAAGTAATATTTGCTTCAGCGCTCGATTTTCATATAATACTACGGTGTAATTTAACTTGTTGTAGGTTATAATTTACCAAAACACACGCCGAGTTGGGCTCGTCGACGATTTGAAACAAATATTTTTGTGAATGTAAAATAATAACAATATGTGGTTCCGTGTCACAATAATTTTTGGTCGTAGCATAATCAAATTATTATTTTCTATAAAATGTAATATATGGTTCACCTAGTATAATAGCCATGAGTCTAAGCGTACTGCGTGACGCGCGTTCGCGCGCTACTGCAAGCGAGAGAGGTAGAAAAAATTATATAAGGAAAATACCCAATACCATGACATGGCACTAAAACATTTTGAATTGATGATGTCAAACCTTCCAGATCGTTGCTTTTGGCTTTGCAACCATCTCGAAGCAACCAGCTCGAAACAAGAATGCTAGTTTGCGCGGCGCGTCGAAGTCCTCTAAGTCTAATAAGTGTGAAGTATTATGTTAAAAACAAAAATTAACAGTGTTAAACTAAATTGATATCAGTTAAAGATGATATATTTTAACAGGTAAAATTCATATACATGTAATTGACGATTAAGAGCTGTAGGAGTGTGTTCAGGACTCTGAAAGTGGCATACTCTAATAGCAATGGTATGAAATGGTTAACTTTAGTCAAGGTCTCATGTCTCTACCACCTTCGCTTTTGGCGCTGTGAATCTTGCGCTTCAAGCGCAATGCGCAAATTCCTGCAGGAACTTCCCGACATTGTAGAGACCTGAAACCTCGACTAAAGTTAACTATTTCCTACTGTTTATATTAGAGGAGCACACATTTAGAACTCCTTCCATACTCCTTCGTGACTAAATTGACGATTTATAGAATTTTACCTGTTAAAAATTAGTGAAAAATATGGGCGTGGCCCAAGTCAGTATTATACGAAACCGTAGAGACAAACATTTTTTTTTGGTTGTTCCCGACCCTATAGAGCAACTAATTAGAGGTGATATCTAATTATTTAAACGAAATGTGGTTTTCTGAACCGCCCTTTATTCTACAGCGAATCATGAACATTGAACATGTACATAAGAACTTAGAATTGTATGAAGTATGAGTTTATATATGAGTAATTTATTATAAAATTACCTTTCACTATGCAATTTCGACTAAATTCATGTAGATATCCAATTCAGTTCCATGCACAACTGTTGTTTTCATTTGGTCTAGTTAGACACAATTTGTTTCAGAGTGACTCGATAATCACAATATCAAATTAAGATATTATTTAAATGGTCCATGTCATGCAATGCGGAAATATCCCCATAAATTGGCAATGCCAAAGTGACACTAAAGTTATTGCTAATTCCTTTACAAAACTTAGCAAGTGCTATTTACAATATCCTAATGGATCATGGAAATTGAAATGTCCAATTTTCTTTTCATAAATAATAATTATAATGCGAAGTTTTATTTACCCCAAGTTTGGAGAGTAAGTAGGTTAAACTGGGAATGCCCCTTCCCAGGGACCACATCACCCCTAATAAACCATTAAATATCATGGGAGACTATGCACAGCCTCGAATTATAGTATAATGACTTCGAATAAACCTTTTTTGTCTCTAAAAAAAGGCTTAGAAAACTAGATTTATTTACCTCATTTTACCTCATTTTACCTCATTTTACCTCATCCCAATTTTGCCTTTTTTGGCTGGCCTCGTGAGGTCAGTAAACGACCGGGGGTAGGATTTGGCCGGGAATGTCCAAATTTTGCCGGGGCCGGGAATTGGCCGTTCTGGAATTTGGCCGGGGCCGGGGCCGTGAATTTAATAAATCCACGGCCAAGTTAGAACTTTTCAGGACAAAAACTATCAGAGGTTACAAAAACAAAGGACTGCTCTTGAAAGTTGGCACTCTGGACATCATCCATTCAAAATTGAAAATCCATTTTAAGATTTATATGAAAGTTTTAGGCCGATTTCGATCAAAAATTCCCGGCCAAATTCCCGGCAAAAATTGAAAATCGGCCGGGGCCGGGGCCGGGAAGAAATAGCTCCCCCGGTGCCGGGATTTCACGGCGCCGGGAATCCCGGTCGATTACTGCGTGAGGTAAAATGAGGTTGACACCCCCCCCCCCCAGGGTAGTTATACTTGTGACGATAGCAACTGAAAGTAACTAATTGTAAGCTCAATTTCAGACTTACTTTCAATAACGAGTTGAGCAGCACTCTGTATCTGTTCTCTAATCTGGTTTAGGAATGTCACTTTGGCATCGTCTTTAACTTGATCCACATGCTTTTGTTGCTCTGTCTCTCTCACATCTGCTGCCAGCACGTTCATGTCCAGCAGAGCTGCGCTGTACTGTTCGCACAACATCTTAGAAAGAGAGCTCTTACCTGGAATAAGCTGATCATTAGTAATTAGTAATTAGTAATTAGTAATTAGTAATTAGTAATTAGTAATTAGTAATTGGTAATTAGTAATTAGTAATTAGTAATTAGTAACTTCTGACAATATAAAGAATTTACCAGTTCGTATCAAAAATCTTAGCAATGATGCAGGGTGTCCAGTAAGTAGGAATTTGACAAATAAAAGGTAAGAAAAAGTAGGAACGGTGGAAATTTAGTAGGGGCTGGTTATCCCCCAGTTCCATAGCGGATATTATGCCAAATTATTAGACGAAGATCGTCAACTAATATTTCTTCGGATATTTCTCCGGTTTGCAGTTCCATAACCTTATCCGGAGACCATCTACGGTAATTTTGTTGATTCTCACAGATGTAGCAAAGTGCAAAGAAACTGCCACAAACTGCTACAATCTCCGAGAAATTCCCGGAGAGCTTCATCTCCGTCTAATACAGTAGACGGAGCCGGAGAATCATCACCGTAGAAATGGACCTCCGTCTAATAATATCCGCTATGGAACTGGGGGGTTACACTTGCGTAACAATGAGGCCGTTGGAATGTCCGAAGTTAAATAAGTGTTGAGATTTTTTAGAAAGTAGATACAATAAGCTTAACGATAATTGTTCCGCATCAAATAGTTGGAACTCATTGTCTAGGTACCGCAATTCCCCTCAGCAGATAGAAGAATTGAGACCATAACAATAGTGAGACAATATCTCAATACACGTGCTGCTTGTTCGCATCATTTCACTCTTTCATTTCATCTCGTAAGGCTGAGTGTAGGTTTGCAAAATTTTAGTGTTATATAAGTAAAAGGCCAATGAGTGTCGATACGTCCATTATTTTCATTTTGTTTTCACCAATCATTTGCCTTGTTCCACTTTGTCTGTCGAGAGCCGTGATGCTCGGGCTTCTAAACACTACACATTAAATTTGCAATACAATCAACAATAATAACTCTGTAAGTTTGATCGTAAGCCGGTTGCGACGCTACTTCATGTGGACCCCCCCCCCCCCCTCATACTGTTATTCCTTTCATCAATTGGTCAGTTTATTATTTATTATTTTGTTTTGCAGATGAAACATTCAGTTCCAACACCGTGACTATGCGACATTCAAAATGTAACCCAATTTGTACGTGAACGGGCGTTCATATAAAAAAACCAGAAAGACACTTCTGATTAGAATAATAGAGATACTAATGTTTGCAAATAGGTATTCCCACAAGTGTCCGGATAGTTAATTATATAAACTAGCTAATACTATTTATGTTGGCCGTTTGTTAGCCATATGTTGGCAATATTTCATGCAGATTGTCCACTGTCCAGTAAGTAGGAGGCAATAAAAAGTATGAGAGTAGAAATTTGACAAATAAAAGGTAAGAAAAAGTAGGAACGGTGGAAATTTAGTAGGGGATTTTTGTTTTCTTTGGACCGCTCAGTTTTTTTCGCTAAGTTCTCTTTTGGGCCCTCTTTTTCAGCTTTTTTTTCTGATATTCAACATTTAAAAAGTTAAAAGAATTCTTCGACATTTCTTAAGCTTCAATCTCTAGAATTAAGGTAAGATACTAATAAGTTAAATAAATTACTCCGATGTTGACCTTTTCCACTCTTAAACTCACCAGTCAAGGCACATTTTAACAATGAGAGAAGGGGTACATTCATCTGATCGTAACACATGACCTAACGGCTAACATGGTCCATCTCAGTTTATTAACTCTTAGCAGACATTTTGTTCGCTCACAGCGCTTACAATAATTATAGTCAAGTTACACAGTTCATTGTTACCAGGATTAATCCAGTAGATACAATAAGCTTAACCATAACTGTTCCACATCAAATAGGTGGAACTCTATCGTGTCTCATTGTCTAGGTACCGCAATTCCCCTCAGGAGATAGAAGAATTGAGATCATGACAATAGTGAGACAATATCTCAATACACGTGCTGCTTGTTCGCATCATTTCACTATCTCGTAAGGCTGAGTGTAGGGTTGCAAAAGTTTTAGTGTTATCTAAGTAAAAGGCCAATGAGTGTCGATACGTCCATTATTTTCAATCATTTGCCTTGTCCCACTTTGTCTATCGAGAGCCCGTGATGCTCGGGCTACTAAACATTACACATTAAATTTGCAATACAATCAACAATAATAACTCTGTAAGTTTGATCGTAAGCCGGTTGCGACGCTACTTCATGTGGATTTTGTTTTGCAGATAAAACATTCAGTTCCAACACCGTTACTATGAGGCATTCAAATTGTAACCCAATTTGTGCGTGAGCAAATTGTTGGCAATATTTTGCTATTTGTGTAGAGTGTATGACATGGCCGTATGCCTGGCTGCATATGGGCCTTATGTAAGCCATAATACAAGTAAGCCTCATTATCCCCTAATACTATCAATCCCTCTATATAGTTCAGGATGAATAAATCAGGATGCCTGGTAGTTATACTATTGATGATGTCAGTGATTCTACTCTACACTGATAACGGATTATCTGAAGCTTTTGCTAACAGTGGCAGGAGAAGAACCCCATCCAGGTAAGGAGATTATTAAATATAAAATTGGTAAAAACTACTGCTCAAATATCATATATTATCTTGAATATATAATTGAATAAATTATATTATATAATAGTAAGATAGTAAGGTACCTAGTATATCATCATATTATAATAAGTTATTAACAAATTAATCAATTGATTAATTAATTAGGTACGGTAGGAGTGTCTCATCAAGACAGACAAGAGAAACATCTTCCGAACTAAGCTCTTCCGGAGAAGACGCTCAGATTAAAACTTAAAGAACTGTTCGAAGCAAGAACTGGAGTCCGGAGTCTCCGGACAGTATTCGGGATCGTCAAAGATATTATACTCTTACAATATGTAAGAAGTATTTAAATACTCGTACAATATGTAAGAAGTATTTAAATACTCGTACAATATGTAAGAAGTATTTAAATACTCGTACAATATGTAATTATTATATTAGTGAAAACTTACTTCTGATATCATTTTTAGGTTTAGACTGTTAGATTTAGAGTTTGGGAGAGCCGATATTTACATTTCGCTATGGATTTGATTTTATAGTTTGATTTTATTCTTATGAGTATATATATAAGTAAGTATATATTATTATAATATGTGTTTTAATAAAAATGGTCTTAACAAAAAACGAATCAAATGACAAATACAAGTTTTACAAATCATGGCCAGACCCCCCCCCCCCCCCCCCCCCCCCCCCCCCCCCCCCCCCCCCCCCCCCTGTACTTCACAAAGCTTAAAATTAAACTTCAATGGACCAGAATACCAGTAGCTTTTGCAGTCTATTATTTTCTCTTGTCAGTAGATTCTTTGGCTGACAACTCACTCATTATAAACAAAATACAACTTGTTGGGTTCTAGAGGCTGCCCAAAATCGAATAAACTTGAATTTGAAGCAAAAACTGACATCTAAATATGTTTTTGTGAGTTTTGGAGCCAGATCTCTAAATATTAAATTTGACTATTCAGAAAAATCATTAAATTACAGCATTAAAAAACTCTGAAATTTGGTTTAAAAAGTGGGAGAAAAGAATAAAAAATAGTTAAAAAGTAGGAGAATAGGAGAAATTGTCAAAAAGTAGGAAGAATTGCTGAAAATTAGGAAGTACATAGAAGGGTATGGACAGCCTGCAATCATGCCATGGTATTACAAGAATCGAGACCGAAACTAGTAATTTTAAAATGAAAATGCACATACCAGAGGAAGGAGGCCCGATGATACATATCTTTCCTGGAACTCGGGGTTGTGGAGGCAGTAGATATGGTCGGGGGTTCTCCATGAACTTCTTTATGTTTTCCTCGCTTGACATGCAGTATATCTTACCCAGGTAGGCCACAGAAAATTGGAACTTTCCTTGTTGGATTGAACCTTGTTGTAACGCTACCGGATCACTTGCTTCCCAGCGTGACTTTCTCCAAGGGAACCTGGCTCCCACTGTGTCCTATTATGATATATAAATATAACATGATTAATGATTAAGGTGTATGCTTGTTTAAAAAAAAGTGCGGTATTTTCAGGGGCAAGTTGATATCTAACGATACAACAGAAAGAGAATCTAGCCGCTCGAGAGAGATATTGTGTTAAGCATGTACCCGTTTGACAAGCATTTTCAGGAGATCATCTGCTTCCAGATCAGGATCCTGTTCCTCATCTTCAGGGAACAGAGGAATTGGTTGAATGGCACAATAGGCACAGTAAGTTGCCAATTTGTTCATCAGAGTATCCAGGAGGTCCTTCCTGTTCAACAGGCCGTTCAGCTCAATAACTTTCTGACGATCATGAGAGATGATCAAATCTTCAAGACTAGGTAGAACGTTGTTGAAGTAAGTTTCTATTTCCTTCTGTACCATCTCTGGTTCATCCTGGGGCCGTCTTATCATCAAGTCCAGGGCTCCAGCAGGTGCTGGCGGATCTATCAGATCGTTAACCTGATAATTTAGTTGTGTAATGTGTTGAGTCAATTTTAGAAAACGACTGAATGATGACCATTGACCATTGACCATCTACAATATCGCATGCAAGCTCGCTTTTTACACATGATATGAGTACTTGATACTCAACTTTACAGTTTACATGTAATATCAGGGAGGAAAATACCTGCTCAGGAATAGCATCAGGATCTTGATCATCATCCATTTCTTCCTCTTCTTCTTCCTCCTCTTCTTCTTCTCCCTCATCTTCATCAACAGCTGCAGCAGGTTGGATGAGATCGGGAGAGTAAAGTTCATTGTTTTCAGGGTAAAGCAACTGCTTCGATCTTCGTTCGATCAAATCTGTATCACTTATCTTTATGTTGACAATAAACTCTGGAGTTAGTTCGAAGTTTTTTATTACAGATACTTGCTCCTCCGTCGACATAAACTCGGAGTCCAGAGTGGGCAATCCATCCAAAACATAACCTGTAGATATACAAGATTAAATGGAATTTCCCAGGAATAGAAGTAACAGGATTTTAACATAGTAACAGAGGTTTGTATCTATAATTGGCAATCCCAACCAAACCAGAACAGTAAAACTACACGATGAGATCGTGTTAATAAAAGTAGATATAAATGAGATTAAAATTACCATGATGCTTGATATCAAGAGCAGCTATTCTTTGGCTGACAATCTTCAGTGCAAGTGATTCTTGGATAGCCTGTCCATGATTTAATCTATCTGACACTTCACTCCCTAAATCTGACTCCTGTTTGATAACCCATTCTATAGCTGACTCGGCTGAAACAGTTCACATTTTTAAATCTGTATTAATTATCTGAGATTTCATAGAATACTTCTTTCAATGTAAGTTATGGTTCTCATTTACTGAGTAAACCAAAGCAAGATTTACCAGTGTTTTGTATTTTGATTTAGCAGGAAAACTATTGTTCTCCCAAGAATTCTGGTAAATTGGGTTTTGATTGTTATGAAGAAAAGTAAGATTAAATCAGAATGAATATTGAATTGATACAATATGAGAAATGTTTAAGTAAAAACTTACGTGTAACCAGTTTACATTTCCAGTTATGAGCAAGATTTCTGGCCAATGTTGATTTCCCTGATCCCTGCAATGGATATTTTAAACAAAATAACGCATAATTCAATTAACAGTCGAACAGTGGAATCAATCATGTATCATTCCAATTCAAATAAAAGTAAAAGGTGTACGGTATCTACAAAGTATGGTTCATTACCGGCTTTCCAATAATCACAAAACATGTTGGTGTCTCATGAAGTTTTTGGAACTCAGCCTTGTCCTCATCAAAACTTCTATGTGGAGTAGACATCTTTACTCCCACATGCCTATTGTGGTCAGACATTATGATTTCTAATAAACCTACAGTCGTGTGATCTTACTCTAACTAGAACAAAGAGAGTCAATTTATCATCAAAGCACAGATATTGAAATATAACCTAAAGAAACAGCTTTGGGTATAAATTTTAATACTTTGTAAGCTGGTGTTGGTGATTCATGGATAGCTTTAAATTTAATCTGTAACATGATTGTTTGCGAGCAGAGAATTAAGAAGCAATTGCCCTGAGAAGAAATTTAAGTCAATACATTCCTTCCAGTTAGTATCTTATTAGATTGTCTCTTGCAAGTGGCACTGATAAAATCAAATCAAATCAAAATATAATGACACAAACATCATCACACATCATCAAAAATATATCTACTAAAGTTTTAAAAATATCTTAAATCTATTGGCCTAAACAACCAAGATAAAATTAATCTAATTTACATACTTTCCACTACTATATAAGTTAATAAAGCGTTTCTTAGCAACATGAGGATTACACACAAGATATTCATAGTGCTTCTCTTTATTAGTAGCATAATTTAATCCCTCAATTTTTCCTAATACTTTGTCCGAAACATACCAAAAATGAGGGGAGTTTGTTCCAATAAGGTCTCACCCTCTCCGGAAGAAAAGAACTGTGGACTTTCTTCATTTTACCGCTACTTTTACTGCATCTACTGTTTGATACCACATTAAAACCAGATCTGCTCATACTGAACAAATCAGCTCCGTAATTGGCCAAACCACTTATCATTTTAAAAGATTCAATGAGGTCCCCACGTATTCGCCGCTCTGCCAGCGTTGTTAAATTGAGGATTTCCAGTCGACGACTGTATGGAAGAGTACCCACCTCGTCAATCAGACGGGTAAACCGCCTCTGGACGCTCTCCAGCTCCAAGATGATCCCCCAACTTCCATGAGCCGCAACTGGACTCCACAATTGAACACAATACTCTAAATGGGGTCTTATTAAAGCTTTGTAAATGGATATCATCACAGATTTTTCCCTGATAATCAGATTTCTAACAATCCAACATATCATTCTGTTGGCTTTAGATATTGAAGCCTTAATCTGTTCATTCCAAAGCAGAGAGTTATGGGTTATAACTCCCAAGTCTTTTTCCTGTACAGATTCTGCCAATGTAACTCCATTAAGAGAATAACTTGATCTTGGGTTATCGTTAACATCTAAATGCATTACTGAACACTTAGTAGGATTAAACTTTAAAAGCCATTTACTCTCCCACATCTCTAGTTCGTTCAGATCATTAGCTATAGTTTCATGCTCGGAGGCATTAGCTATAAGCTTAAGATCATCAGCAAATATTTTAACTTTACTTTTAATGTTATCTGGTAAATCATTAATAAATAACACAAATAGTAATGGTCCAAGGACTGATCCCTGGGGAACTCCTGACCATACAATCTTCCACTCTGAAGTTTCACCTTCTACACACACTCTCATAGTTCTATTTGAGATAAAATCTGTAATTACATCTAAAACTTTACCAGTTATCCCTAGACTCTCTAGCTTGTTAATCAAGCGATAATGGGGAACAGAATCGAAAGCTTTACTAAAATCAAAATAAAATAAGTCCACAGGAGCACCTTCATCTATTAAATTAAGTATAGTGTCGAAAGTCTCCAAAAGATTTGACAAACAAGATTTTCCTTTAACAAACCCATGCTGGTCCTTTGAAATACGGTCTTCTAAAAATTCTAACACATGGGATCTAACAAACTGTTCATAAACTTTACAAAGAATACAAGTAAGAGAAACTGGTCTATAGTTAAGAGGGTCAGACTTAGAGCCCTTTTTAAAAAGTGCAACTACAGATGCCGACTTCCATACCTCCGGAAGATTTCCAGTATCACTACAGGCACTAAATAATTTAGTAAGAGCTGTTACAAAACTAGCATCTCCAGCTAGGGACTTAAGCATCTTTGGATGATGCCCATCTGGGCCGGTGCTTTTAAAAATATTAAGCTTTAATAGTTCCTTTTTAACATTATCAAAGGTAATAACAATATCAGATATACTATTAGTATTCTTACTATAACTTCTAGGTAATGGGCCGAGTGGCTCATTAACAAACACAGAACTAAAGGCACTTGCAAGTACCTCTGCAGACTCCCCTGCACTAGTTGTCCTTGTACCGTCTTCCTTATCTAAACTTGGTACCGAAGCTTTAACCTTTCTCTTATTTCTCAAATAAGAATAGAATGATTTACAATTGATCTTTAAATTGGAAGTTATCTTCTTCTCATATCTTATCTTTGCTTTCACTTCCTCATTCTCATAGATGAGCTGTTTACTACTTGCATGACTAAGATTAACACTAGAAGGTTCAATATCAAATGCAGTCCATGCTTTATCTTTGTTCTTTCTCATGCGCTTCAATGAGGATGTGTCCCATGGCAGCTTCACAGGTCTGTTGTTTTTATAGACCGAATTAGTCGGTACTATCCCAGCAACAGTCGTAAGTTTGCCATGTAACTCATCCCACATAAGCTGAACATCATTAGAGCAACTAAAATCCCAGTTAATATTTTCAATACTAAACTTTAAAATATCATCATTAGTTATTTTACCCCATGATGGTTTCAGAATCTTCTCTTTACATTTAATTGAATCTACAGAAACACTTAGATCGACTACCACACTGACATGATCACTTTTGCCAATCGGGGACAGCACTGTGCATTTATTAATAAGCGCATCATTGGTGGAAAGTACTTGATCCAGCAGACTCTCTTGGAGTCTATCCTTTACAACCCGCCGCCTAGTTATTTCAGTATTAAAATACCAGGACAACCCTGCTTCGTTAAACATATCAATATAGATTTCTTGATTCAAGAATGACTTATTAGTGCTGACCAAACCTCCATTTACACAACCAGTCTCCCAAGAGACATCTGGTAAATTAAAGTCTCCTACCAGGAGTGTTTCAAAATCATTATTAACATTACAAATATTTTTAAGAAAAGAAATTAATTTTAAATTTTGGCCAGAATTTAAAGATGGTGATCTATAAATACATCCAATACAAAGTTTACCACTTGCAGTATCTATTAATACAGCTAAAGAATCAAGTGCATTACAACTTTCTTTTACTAATGATGAATTAATATAATTCTTAACACTAGTTTTATACAACCTAGCAGACGTGTTACATCATTTACTGGTTGGCGGAAGGATTGGTCGGCTGGTCGGTACAGTAAGAAGACACTGCCTGTATACTCTCAAATAGATTACATACTATGCCGAAATAGATCTAAGTGTCTTTTGACTCAATCAAGAACTTATGCTGGTACTAAAACATTTTCAGATCATAGACTTGTCATTGCTCGCATCAATTTCAGCAACATTCATCTTTGTTTCAAACCTAAACAACGTCGTGTTCCTTCTTATAATATATCAGAACTTGTAAGCAACAAAGATATGCAACATAAATATCACTTGGCCCTTGAAGGCAAGTTCTCAAATTTTGCGACCAGCAACGATCCAAATGCCGACCTTCAAAATCTTATGTCTCATATTCGTGATGCTGCCAATGTTTTCATCGGCCCAAAACCTAAAGCTCGCTTGAAACATCACAGCAGTGATGACACTCTCAAAGAGCTTGTTGAAAAGCGTCACGATCTCCGACAGCTACTTAACAATAATCAATCTCTTGATCGAACTACATTGAGGTCATCCATCAACCACCTCACTAATAGTATCCAGAAAAGATTAGTTGAAGTGAGGTCTGCTCAAGCTGATCAGACCTATAGTGATATTACTAACACAAACGATTCAAGGAAAATGTTTGAAGCAGTAAGACATCTTCAGAAAAGTAAACCACCTAATAACTCGATTGGTGTTCATGATGAAAATGGCTGTTTGATTGCATCTGACGACATGAAAGCTTCTGTTGTTAGAGACTATCTCGAAAAACAGCTGACTCGCAATGAGCAACCTCTCGAGCCTTTTGAGGGTCTACCACGTGCTCTCAATGTCCCTTTTACTGGAGTTGAAATACATGCAGCCACCTCTAGCTTGAAAAATGGGAGGGCAAATGGTCCTGATGGAATACCCAACGAGCTAATTAAGTACTCTAATAGTACAGTCCATGAACATTATGCTGGAATCATCAACAGTTGTTTCGAGACACATACTTTCCCCATTTCCATTGGAGAGGCTACTATAACACCCTTACAGAAGCCAAAAAAACCTATTGGTCCTCTGAAGAATTTACGTCCACTCACCTTGTCCAATGCAGCCAGAAAAATTCTGTCTATGGCTACTCTTAAAAGGATAGAAGAAAAAGTGAACGCCTTCACTGGTCCATGGCAGTGTGCATATAAACGCGCTCGTTCTTGTGCTGATATTGTTTGGTGTCAGCGAGTTCTACTGTCAGTTGTCCAAAGGAAGAAATGGGAGTATCATCGCATGGGCATTGATATGTCTAGTGCGTTTGACACGATCAAACGCACTACGATTCTTGAACTCCTGAAACTGTGTGGCTGTACTGACGATGAGCTGAGGATTGTCCGGTTGTTGTTGTCCAACACAAAGTTACGGGTGAAGGTAAATGGAGTTCTTTCAGCTGAGTTTTTAAGTCTCCTTGGAGCTTTCCAAGGTGACTGTCTATCCGGCTGTCTGTTCACCCTTGTCTTGGCTGGTGCTTTGAATGAACTTAGATGGACTATAACAATCAGTTTAGATAGGCCGATCCCCCCGATTACTATTGCTGGCCTTCCACTTGACACTGAATATGCTGATGATGTTGACTTCAATGATGAAGAGGAAGACAACTTGAGAGCTATTTTGCCCCAGGCAACAGCTATACTCGAGAAATGGAACCTCTTTGTCAATGAAGACAAAACGGACTTCACTCATGTTTATTTAGCTAGTACGGGTGAAGTCGACAGTGATGGAAAATTAGTGTCGGGGAATGAAGCATGGAGGAAAAGTATCACTCTAGGGTCCGTCTTGTGTAGCAAAGCTGATATTCAGCGTCGCATAAACCTGGGATATGCTGCCTTTAACAATTACAAGAAGGCCTGGAGTGATAAACTGCCCCTAAACAAACGTCTAATACTGTATAATGCTTTAGTCGTATCGGTTCTTATGTACAACTCATCCTGTTGGGCCGTCCCCAAAATATTCCTTGAAAAACTAGATGTTGTTCACCGCAGACATCTTCGCACTATTTTGAATATAAAGTACCCAGGAGTCATCTCCAACAAAAACTTGTATAAACGCTGCAATGCTGAACCATTGTCAGAAAAAGTGGCCTGTAGTCGGTGGAGAATGTTAGGACATGTTTTGCAGGGTCCTATTGACGGACCAGCGTTTTCTTCCCTCATTTTTGCCATCAATACACTGGACTTACCAGGGAGAAGAGGAAGACCCCAAAGCAATCTTTTCTCGCTGATTGTGCATGATTTATGTAAAAGAAATCTTTATTTGAATAATATCTTTGACCTGCATTATCTCCGTAATTTGAGTTATGACAAGAGATATTGGCGGAAATTGCAATGAAGTTTTTAATTTTTAGTTTTTGTTTTAGGGAAAGATTAGACTCGGGCGTTGTTTTTTAACTATCCCTTGTTTAGAACTTTGATTTAATAACATAAATGATGGACCCTCCTCCAGAACTAATATCCTTTTTAGAAGATTCAATTTTAAAGTCACGGTCTTTTCTAAAAATTGTGTAACCGTCAATTTGAACTTCAGCATCTAAAATATCATTATCAAAATGTGTCTCTGTGACACATATAATATCAATGTTCTTGTTTAGCATCAATAAACATTTTACTTCATCTATTTTGTTAAAGAATCCACTAGCATTAGTATACAATATGCTTATTCCTTTGCAACTGTAGCTTCCTTCTCTTCGATCTTCTGACTCTTCTCTGCGTTCTTCTGCTTTTTCCTCTTCTCTGCTTCCTCCCGTGCTTGAAAATTTGCCTTACGGTCAGCTCTGCACAAATCTTCATTTATCCAATGACCACTCTTTGACCGGATTCCTCTCCCTCCATTCGTGTAGTACTTTACGTCTTCTACGTCATAGAGTTTGACAATAAGGGGCCTGCAGTACTCTGGTATGTCTTTATTGACTCTGCCAGCTCTAAAGCAGGACACAATGTCTCCCTTTTCCATCTCAAGTGAGTTGATGCAAAAGTCGATGTCTTCTTTTTCACGATCTTTGACACTGTTATTGGTGCTTTCCGGTACCTTCAGGATGCAGACATTTTTCTTCTTTCTTTCTCTCTCCACCCTATCTGCATCAATGTTACGTTGTACCTGCTGGACAACTTCTTTGGTTGTTTCTGAACTTCTTAGATTTTTCAGAACAGTTTGTTGAGACTTAGCTGTAATATCTGAATAGAGACTAACAGCTTTTTTCACACTTTTGTCCGTGCTGTTGTTTAGAACTGTTTTTAAGGAGTTCGCCAAAGCTGGTGTGAACTTCTGGAGCTCTTCTTTGACAATAGCCCTGACAGCTCTCTGGTCATCAGTGTCCTTAACTGTGTGGGGTGCCACAAAGCAAATGGGACACTTCCAGTTAGTCAGATGCCCTAACATATCATCTGTCAACCCAGACAGGCCAACACAACTTGAATGCCAGAACAACTTACAGGCTTCACATTCCACAGATAACTCATCAGCCATAAAGATTTCACATGGGCAGTATTTTTCTTCTGCAGCAGGCGCAGAAACATCCTCAGCTGTTGACTTAGCTTTTGAGGGGCTTATCTTTACTTCTCGTTTCTTCTTTAGCGTCGGCGCCCTCTCGGGTACATTCTTTTCTTCCATCCCTGAACTCAATAAATGTAATAGATTTGTAGTGTTGTAATTAGTTTAAAACTGAGACACAATTTAAGAACTTCTTCTCAGACCCACTGTGCGTTACTTCATGGTTTGACTAGCTCTTAACCAAGGCCAATCATATGTCAGCACTATGATTATTTATTCAGTGCCTTTACCTGTATAACCTCAATTAAAAATGATCATTTTAAACTCCCTTTCGGGAAATTTTGAAAATCTTGGATCTCAAAATCTTTTCTGAGCGATCTCTTCTAAATGGTGCTTAGAACATATCCTGAAAGTTTGAGGGTGATTGCTCAAAACATGTAGGAGAAGATAGATTTTTAGAGTCGATTTTCAGAACTTGCGATTCAAAATTGCTTGCGCATTACGATTAATACACATAAGTGCTGATATTTTTTATGGGACCAAAAGCAGCTGGTAGATATCACACCCCTCTATCAGAAACAACTATAAAGTCAATTTCGAGATAATTTTGATGAAGACCCCCTACATGACACCCCCATGGCAACAAAATACCGCCTCCTTATTTGAAGGTAATTTCGAATTTTTTGCTAGGAAAAACTTCCACAATCTCTAAATTAGAGATTGTGGAAATTTGTACTAAAGGATGCCCCTACAGAATGCATGATCTTTTTACGGCCCTTTCTAAGGCCTGATGTCTGTCTTCCTACGATTTAACGAACGCACACAAGACTACCATGCCAAGACTTATATTAAGTCTATAGAGCTGGGTGCTGTTCGGTATTCTCAAGCCCCTTTTAAACTATAATATAAAAGTTTAAATTATTATAATTATTATCAAATAAGTCTTGTATGAAACTGCAGTGGGCTCTAAAGCTCACACTATTTCGGGTCGTTACTCTAATGTTGACTAGCCAATGCCAGTGTCGTAACAACCGCACTCGCTACCGTACACCTGCTAATTTTAATAGATTTCATTGATAGATGTATTATTATATACACCGCTTCATTAAGTTACGGGACTCAACAGCAATCTGAAAAGGAGACAGGAGAGCATTCCAGCTATTACAGTTGTAAATCATGACATGATACATGCTTCATAGATATCAATCTTGGTCCTCGCTCCTCAGATTAATCTGAGAGCCGTTCATCCGTTCCTCTCGAATACCATATTTCCAGAGATAAGATTTTTTTTTTTTTTTTTTTTTTTTTTTTTTAGAGAGGCTGGGCCTGGTTGGCCCACGAGAGGATAGCATATGAATGCTTTGCCTACCTCTGGGGTATGGCAGTCCTGTGGGAGGATGCCAGTGGAATCAAGATGTGTAATCAAGGATGATGGTAAGTGTTGTGGGGTGTGTCATAGATAAACGCTTAAGTGGTGGTTGAGTGTGGAAGAGAGAGGCGAAATAAGACGGCGTTAAAGTAGTCGCTATGTTACACCAGTCTGGTCCAACTCCTCTGGCACCACTAAGCGTTTAGTGTGGTTTGTAAAGTTGACAATGGTGGAGATGTGTTGGTTGTCGAATATGTCATTGACAGAGAGGTAGTAGTCCCGGAAATATTGACCTCTTATTTGGGCAATAGCCGGGCACTGTCCGAGAAAGTGTGAGACAGTCTCCTCTTCGTCGCCGCATTTAGGACAAGCACTTGTGTCTGATTTGCGAATGGTGTGTAGGTGTTTGTTGAGGCCACAATGTCCCGTGATGAGGTGCACTGCAGTTCTATAATTTTGTCTGTTGTTACTGAGTGTAGTGTTGAGATTTTTGATGATGTTGATGTTTTTATGTCCAAGTGTCAGTTTAGTGTGTCTGGGACCATTAGTAATCCATGATTCTTGATTAAGTTTTGTGACTTTGTCGTTGATCAGGCGTTTGATGTAAGATTGTGGAATTGGGCAATTCAAAGTGGATTCACTGGTTGTACCATTTTTGGCCAGCTCGTCTGCTTTTTCATTACCCCACAATCCGATGTGTGCAGCTATCCATCTGATCTCTAAGGTGTTAGTGGATCCGAGTGTATTGAGGGTGTCGTAACAGTCTCTAGTAGTCCTACTCCTCGTTGAAGGTGAGGATATGGCTTGAATAGAGGAGAGACTGTCTGACCATATGATGATGTGTGTGTTTGTATAAGTTGATAGATATTTGCAAGCTTCGATGATGGCAGTGAGTTCTGTTTGATAAACGGTGCAATAATCGGGAAGCTTGAATGATCTTTCATCTAGTGTAGTGTTGTTGTTGTCTGTGGTGATAATAGAGAGATAAGATTATTGATTATAATATTGGATGTTTTCCATGCAGTCTAGATTTCAATGATACAGATTTAAACTGTACAACTTCGTGTGCAACCCTCCATCTGCATCATGCTCTTTCATCTTTACCATTTACGATGAGATGATGGGTCGTATAGTGTCTGGCAAGATTTCGAAGGCTCCCCTTCCTCATATATTTAAGCTGAAATTTGTTGTATTTTAAGAATCCTTGTTTGTTGTTTATAACTTTTATCTAATAATCATCCGTCAAACTGGAAGATATAACTGAAACAAATGCACACGGATATGATGTATACGATGGCGTACCACACAAAATACCGCCAGCTGTCATCAAGTTTTAATATTTTAACTGTAACTAGTTTTTACTTTGACTGACGCGCACCATCGACCTTAACCAATGAACTTTTATTTTTTTGCTTTGTGCGCATTATTTTCTTGTATCATGTTGCGACCCCCACGGTCGTTTCACTATATCGTCCTGACGATACAGGGGCCGAGAGCCGCGCACTTCGTGCGCGGCGGATCATACAACGTATGACAATTATTTTCATTTTAATTGCGCATTGAAATTTGTCGACACACGCTGTAACCTTGACGGATGCTACTCGTCTAAAATTCTTCGAAGTAGCGCGCGCCGCTTTCTTCTCAAAATTTTATGATGGTACGTGCTACAAAGTAGCGCGCACCAAGCCAGATCATTAACAATGGTCAAGCTGTAACCCCTTTTGATGGCGCGCGAAGCGCGCGCTGCCGGCCTTATATAACGTGTAGCAAGAAATTTAAAAGATGCGAACCAAAGACCAATAAAATTGGATACTATAGCACAAAATTAAAATCCTCCGCTAAAGGTTGCAAAAGTGTTTACAAAAGGGACAGTACAAGGAATAAATCCTTCATTAAGTAAAATCTTTTTTACGAAGTAGCGCGCACAGAGTCCAGGGTCAGTCCATCAACTACAAACTATGAACAAGTAAAAACTGAACTTATTTATTTTATGGACTGGCCCGGCCAGCGCGCGCAACGTTGTAGCAAACTTGCCTCGGGCCATATTTCGAAAAGAAACAAGAAATTGGCGCGCACTTATTGAACCATTACCTAAATTTTTTGTCTCTTGCTCGGTTCCCTACCTGATCACATGAAAGCAAGTAAGCTTGCTCTAACCAGAGCCCTCTCGCTTGCAGTAGCGCGCGACCGGCGAAGGATATATTCTACTTGTGAAACAAGCGCATCACGCAGTACGCGTATACGCATATGGCATAGCTATGTGAACATTTAAGCTCGTTAAGAGCACCTCGTATAAAGATTCACAATTCATGATTGGTGAGCCTGATAATCTGGACCAAACCTTTCAAAATAAACTCGTAGATGAAATGCGGAATAACTTATATTACAAACAAATGATACTCGTGTAATTTTTTAATGTAGCGCGCATCACTTTCTAATAATTTCTTCTCGAAATATTAGCGCGCGCAGGATCAGTACAGTCCATTAAATTATAGTTCGATGCGTTACTGTGCCGCGCCGCGGTTGTAGGTTTACAACCTACCAGGACGCGCGCCGAGTTGGACTCGTCGACGGTCCAATATATGGAACAGATATTTTACGAGTATCACCCGTTAACGTTGACGGATGTTGTCATACGTTGTATGACCCGCCGCGCACGAAGTGCGCGGCTCCCCCTGTATCGTCAGAACGATGTGAAGATGTTTTTTACCACGGTAAATTCGGTACACATACTCAAGTTCGACACGTACAACTGTAGTTCGACAAACCCTAAGGTTGGACTTTGTCGAACGAAAGTGCTCTACCTGGACTCAAATTCTACAGAAGAACATCGACTATCAAACTTTAGTTTAAAATCTCTGGTCTCCAACAACAATCCTTTATGAGCTTGAAATCTATTCGTATGTCTTTTTTCCGCTTGTCTCATGCTACCCAATGATGTTAGAATTGTAGATTTAACGGAGAGATAAACGACTAATATAGGCGTGACAACTCTTACTTCGTTTTAAAGATCTAGATTGTAGAGTATGCTATATAAATATCTACCATATACCACCTCTTTATGTTATCACAAACGACAAGTAACAGAGTACCCGTCTAGAGATTTGGCTACTGGACCGGAAACAGTATGATATCAGTCTATTTTCCTGTTATCATGCCCTTTAATAGTTTTACCCGATATGGACCCAAATATTAACTTTGAAACTTCTTCAAAAACATAGTTCTTTGAAGCACTGACGTATGTAATATTGTTACTGTTAGTTTATTATACAGATGAATTTTAGTTCTGTTAAATCTTATGTATTATTCTCCATTCTGTAAATATTGTGACTAAAATTATGGCTTTAACTGATTTAATAGTCTCAATATTAAGACTTAAGTATTTATACAGTAAACCCCAGGGTCCCCATGTAAGCAAGTAAGAACAATTGATTAAGAAAGTGCTGCAAGTCAAAAATTTAAAAAGCCAGAGCCCAGAAACAAAAGCTTTTTGTCAACATAGCGATCACATCATCAAAAAAGTTAACACACAACATCAAATAGTCTGGAACTTTCTAAATGTGACTTTACAGTGCACGCAGTAACTATTTAGCACTGAGATTATCGCTTCGCGCACGCGAGTTCTTCTCGTACAGTTGCACCTGAGATTTCTCGTGCGGCTCGCAAATTACTTGACACCCACATAGTGAAACGACCGTGGGGGTCGCAACGTGATACAAGACGGATGTTACTCGTCTAAATTTCTTCGAAGTAGCGCACGCTGGGCCAGATCATTAACAACGGTCAACCGTTAACGCTGCGGACTCAATGAGGCTTCTCGCAGCTAGATCGGCGAGATACGCTACTGTGCCGCGCGGCCGAGCTGCGATGAATTGACATCCAACATCGTCAATTAATCCATTACCAAGGAACAATTTGTAAGTTTATAACTTACCAAGACGTGCGCCGAGTTGGACTCGTCGACGGTCTTGGAACAAATATTTAACGAGTATCACCTGTTAACAGTTAACAGTTAATAAGGAACAACTTGACACGCGCCTAAGTCTCGAGAATGGTATAAATTTAATTACCTTTAATAGATTTCGCGAATGTGGAATGGTCATTGTAAAAAATTCGTTCAGGCTCCATGACATGATAGCAATTATGATGACTGACAAATGATACTTGTGAAATATTTGTTCCAAATATTAGTGATTAGACCGGGCGTCGAGTGTCGACGAGTCTAACTCGGGGCCCGTCTTGGTAGGGTATATTAAATCTTGAACATACAATAACATGACACCGTTTTCAGCTTTCTGAATTAGTATAGCTTGTATCACGTTGCGACCCCCACGGTCGTTTCACTATGTGGGTGTTTCACTATCGTTCTGACGATACAGGGGGAGCCGCGCACTTTGTGCGCGGCGGGTCATACAACGTATGACAAAGTATAGCTTAGTATAGTATTTTCTTCACGTTGTTTACTTCTCTCGTGCACTCCGGCCGGCCGGAAAGAGGGTTTTGCGGCCGGCTGCCGCGCGGGAAGAGGGTTTGTAACGTGCGTCAATTGTTGACATACGTTCAACGTTGCATGCCACTTTTCGCGCTGATATTTGTGATACGTAACATGTATGAAGTCAATTGCAATGGTCAATTTCGTACGCGCCGGCCGCCGATCGCCAAAAATGTTGACCATTGTTGATTGTTAATGATTTGCAATTTGGCCCGGCGCGCGCTACTTCGTAGCACGTGCCATCGGGCCATAACATTTTGAGAAGAAAGCGGCGCGCGCTACTTCGAAGAAATTTAGACGAGTAACATCCGTCATTACTTTGTCGGATGATGCATTTTTGTTGACGGATGTTACTCGTCTAAATTTCTTCGCAGTACAGTAGCGCGCGCCGCTTTCTTCTCGAAATGTTGGCACGTGCTACGAAGTAGCGCGCGCCGGGCCAGACCATTAACAATGGTCAAATTATGCTACTACTAGCAGGAACCCGTATAATATAACCCTAAACGGTGTCAAGACTCAAGAGACTAAAATAATTATTACCTATTTAATTCGCGTTTTTGGCACCACTTATGACTTAGCTAGGGGTCCAAATTTTGGGCTCTAAAATCACTATTCCTTGGCCAATTTTTTATTTTTTCATGCTGATTTGGAGGCCATTAAATTTAAAACATTTGACCCAGTCAAAAAAGTTTCAGTTGTATATCTTTTACGGTTTTTGCGGAAATTCGCGTAAAAGTTGATGCCGTGGTGTCAGTAAAATAAAATGGCACGGAAAACTATCGTCTCGCTTTATATATAGTAAGATGGTCGAAATGATCAGAGAGGATAAGTGATAAGGGGTCGTTCACATATTACGTAATCATTTTTTTGAGAATTTTTACCCCCCCCCCCCTCCGCGTAATCAACCGTAATCAAGACCGAAAATTGGCATGCAACGTATGTCAAAACCCCCCTATATATATTGTATATATATATATATATTTCATGGCTGGACTTCTACACAATAAAAGAAAGCGGTTGTGATTAGATCTTCGAAAGTCTTTGCATCGTTTATTTACATCAATTCTGAGAAATTATATCATTAAAGTAACTACAACAAATACGAATCATATACAATTGAGAATAAATACAAACTAAAAGCAGTGGGAAAATCTGATATATATATATATATACATATAATAAATCTGATATATATATATATATATACCGCTTTCTTTTATTGTGTAGAAACCGCTTTCTTTTATTGTGTAGAAGTCCAGCCATGAAATATATATATATATTAGTATTACGTAATCAAGGTTTGACCCCCCCCCCCCCCCCCCGTAATCAAGACCCAACCCCCCTCCTATATTACGTAATCAAGGTTTGACCCCCCCATTTTTGAGTTAAATTTTGATGTAGAGATACAAGAAATACACATTATTCATTGCTGTCTGAGACTTGAGAAGATTTTTGTAATATCTCAAATGGTTTATACAAATTAAAGTATTAATAATTAACGAAAATTGTCCAATTGGTATTTCGAAAATCGGTAAAAAATTAAAATTTTGATTACGTAATCAACGACCAAACCCCCCCCCGTAATCAACCGTAAGTATTTGAAAACCCCCACCCCCTCGGCTGATTACATAATATGTGAACGACCCCTAAGTCTGATTTCGGATTCGATTAAGACCAAGCGCCAGCATGCAATTGGCCGCGGAGTTGTATTGGTTGTTGGTGAGTTTCGGGCAAAGCTAGTTAGATATGCCGCGCATAATAGCACGTTTAACGCACTCCATTAATTCAAACTTGCGCCTGATAGTGATGTGCACATAACACTTACAGTGTATCTGGAAATAAAAAGTTTAACATCAATTTTTTCTATCGAACAAGTCAAACTCGAGACTTTGATACTACTTTTCTAAACAACTTAAGTTAAAGTATGATCAACATAATTTCCAATAAAAAGCGACACATTCACCCTATTCAAGATGAAAAGAGATAGCAATATCAATATTTTTAATCACTGTCTCTGTGATAGATACATCTCATAAAGTATGTACTGTAAGTCCATGAAGTATGAATTTTCAGGCTACTCCGAATATAATCACAATATGCAATATAAAGAAAATAGCAGAAGGCAATATTCCCTGTATATATCAGTAGTTTGTAAAGTTGTAGATGATTAAAGTAGAATATTCGGTGAGGTACAGCGAGTTTCCAGGCGGTAAGTGGCTCAGTCCACACGTACAACGTACATCAGTACTTGGCAAAATATCGGCTGTAGTTGAAAGAACTCTTGCTTTAAGATCAGGGTATCTGATGCTAATTTCAGAAAAGCGCAGTAAATCAGTTCTCTGAATCATCAACAGAACCAGACTTCTTCAGTTACATAGATTTGGTTTATTGAAGGAACACACATCAACTAACTCTCTCTCCAAAGAGTTATTGGTCTTACTAACACGTAACAGCAGTAATCTTATAACCCTCAAATCACTTTTAGTCGTTATCTTTTATTTTCTTCCACAAAAAAACCTTATCAGGAATCATGCCGCATTATTATTTATACGCTTACAAAACTAAAAGGAACACATATAGGTAAAAACATGATCTTAAACAATAAACGTCAATAAGTTGATAACGAGAATCAAAATGACCTACTCAAAAGTTTAAACGGGTATATTGAGTGATCTAAAATAATACTAAATCAGTTGCAGTAATACGACTAAATCTAATTTATCATAATTCATCTCGATTTCACAACCGCCAGGGCCGACTGGAACTCGTTATCCAAATAATAACAACTACAAGATGTATTAATTTTATACCTGGATCTCTAAGTGTACAATATGCCTAACTATATCCAGATATCAATAATAACGGGCGGGGAGTTAAATTTGTTTGCTACGAGTAACATAGATCCCTCAACAGTATAACAACACATAAAGCTACTAGCTAGAAGCTGCAAGCACAATCCTGGTCACTGACATAGCTCCTTATTATTAACAGTTCTTAATGTTTAAACTTTAAAGCTAAAAATCTACCAAAATTAAATATACAAAAAATATCTCCGCGCATAAAGAAGCTATCAAAACTTTTCTGCGATAGAAAAACAATAAATAATCCAAAAACTCGAAAGTTTTAATCTCACAGTTTTCATCGATACGATCTCTTTTAAAATCGTCACTCTTGAATTTTCCAAACATTTAACAGTAATATAAAGTTTGTTTCATAAAACGACTTTTCTTGTGCTATATTCACGCGTTGAGCTGTATGACGACACGTTTTGAGTGCGAGATGACGTCACGAGTTGCGATGACGTCACACGTCCGAACACCGAAACTTGATCAGAGGATCTGAGAGATCAAGGGGAACTGGGCCGTGCTAGATACAAACATTGTAAATTCGCTGGATCAGTTCGTTACAAGCTGGACAATACTTGTGAGTCTTTAAACACTCCTGGGAACAGGGGAATTAATGTGTTACTAAAATTTGTGTATAAGTGAATTTTAGTTTATCATCATTCCTTTGATTGTGTACAATTAGGGGGAGATAATCTACTAGTTAACAAAGCAGTTAGAAAAGAGAGATAAAGAGATAAGAGTAAGATAAAGATAAGAAAGTAAAATACACAATAAAAGTGTAATTAAAGGGTCTGTACCTGGCAGGAGACGTAGTGTGAGCAGGGATGGATCAGGGCGTCTCTAGGCCTGTCTACACACACTATACAGGCCATCTGTTTCCGTACCGCCAACATCTGCAGAGAGTATCATTACGTCACTCAGGGTTCAGGGAAACATTGTGCATATATTCAGGATATTGCAGGGTTTATGTAATTACTAACTCTCCTGTTTCAAGAGGCCCCCTCCATTATGTCATACTATCTATGCTTCTTGACTTTATTTTACCAATTTGAAGTGGGCTAACTTCGAATTATTCATAGCCAAGTAGGCGCTGTATCGATGTATTGTACTGAATCAATACATGGTAAAATAGAAATCATACAAAGTAAGTCAAACGTTACGCTACCCACACTCACAGCGTGTTAAAGCAGAAGGATATGAAACAAAGTAATTCACCTCACAACTAATTAGTAATTAAGTACACAAGTAATTAATTAAATACTAACAGAGTTGATCTCCTCCAAGGTGCGAGTGTATTGCTGTCTAATGTGGACAAGTACGTTAAGTGGCAACTTGGAAGCGTTGAATACCAGGGATGTTGTGAGCTTGTTTATTGCTTTTAATGTCTCCAGTGACTCGTTCACAAGGACTCTTTGTTGCTGAAACAAGGGGATGGTTATAATCCAATTAATAAATTGGATCATCCTGTCTAAAATACTACACTATTTCTCATTCATCACACAGTCACTGAAACATGGGATAGCAAGGCAGATACCAAAATTATCAACCCATTCAGGTTCAAAATTAGATCACCACAACGTCCCTGACAAATTCTCACCTCTTGTTGCTGGTGCTGCTGGATAAGGACGGCTTGTTCAGCCTTCATCCTCCTCTGATCAGTAACTGAGGAGGAGTTGATGAGACCGTTGAGCATCATGCTGTACTCAGCAGTGTTGTGTGGCTCTGCTGAAGCGGGGAAGTTAGCGTGAGAGGCGTTGTACTCAGGGTGTTGGGGCCCGGCGGAGATATGACCGGGGAAATGTCCGTTCACTCCGCCTGACAGGGAATCAGCTGTTAGCTTCGTTTGGTAATTTGCAACACGTCTTATGAGTTAGTTTAAGTTCATGGGGATTGGGGAATTAGGTCAGGGTATTTGACTAAAATAGTATTATTAGGTCAGGGTATGAATATTAATAGTAATATTAAATCAGGGTGTATGACTCACTGATCTCACTCGGTAGAGAGGTATTTCCGTAGAAATTGTTGTGTTCAGAGTCGAAGCCAGCTAGTTGTTGATGCTGGACAGCAGCCAATGTTACTGCCTTGGTCGCTTCAGTCAACACTTGTGCCGCCACTCGCTGAATGATAGAAGGATTACCATAATCACAAAAATCAAATTCAATGAAATCATAATGTCAGTTTTATAAGGTATAAATAGTGACTTAACTTGCCAAAATTATAAGCGAGAAGGATATTGGCCCAGAGTAGCACTTTGAATTATATTAATATCTTATAAGCTAATCCTGATGAGAGTTTATTAATAGAATAAATTAAAACTTGCCAACAAAGTTATGACTTATGATAATGATGCTTATGAATATGCACTGTAGCTAAAGCTGATCGGTAAGGGAAGGAATCGTAATGGTGATGAGGAGATTGTTTCATGTGATTATCTGATTTGTAAAGCAATTGCATAGCAAAATATTGTTAAAAATTGAGACTGCTGTATGGCCAAGATTACTTGAGAAGTTCTAACTGAAGAAATAGTTTTAAATAACTTTAAGTTAAAAGATGTAAATATCTATGACATTATTGTAACCTTTGTTTTAAGAGCCTGTTGTAATGTTTCCGGTGAGATAATTGTGGTTTTCGACTGGAAAGTGAAAAGGTGGTGAGAAAATTGAATGATTTCGTTGTGAGCTTAACAAAGACGGTATCTTTGGTGGGTTCTGCTTTGAGTGATAAATAATATTCCATTTGAAATCATTTAAATAACAAGTATACTTACAGGAGAGGACTCTCTGGGGTCTGGAAGGAGGTTACCATTGGAATTCTCTCCGGATCCCTGGCTCTGAGACCTCATTCTGCTATCAGGCAGGGCAGGACTGGGGTGAGCCACAGCGTGTGCTGCAGCATTGTGTACAGGAACAGGGTGCTGGCCTGATACAGACATGTTCTGGAGGGAGTCTATCAGGGAGAGGGATCGTATTCTGCTGTCGTTACTGCCGGAGCGTGCGCGCGCCTCCAGCGCAAGACCGGTGTGCGTGTAGGACCTGCTCCGCTTGTCTCCTATTATTCCCTGCCATGAAGTTATGTTATCGTACTAGATTTCACAACAAGTATTATAAACAGGAATTATAAACAGGAATTCTACTTATTTTTAAGAAAGAACGATAAGAATTAGAACAGTCACTGGCCGTCTGGCACTGTGAAATATAACTCACGCTGACTGAGGTTGGGGGAGATGTGGTATCGGGGTATTGAGTATCTGAAATATCGTACACGATCTGGGCCTCGTCGTCATCGTGCGCGAACGCGCAGAAAGGACCACGAGGACAGAACAAGTACTGCTGCATGTCCTTACATCTGGTGCTCTTGTAGATCTGAGAAAGGGCGTTTGGTTAAATTTACCTGTATCAAAATACTATTTTGTTTTTAAATAACAGCAGACTTTCCGGTGTCAAATAGTATTTTGAGTGCGTACATTTAAACGATTTTAACACAAATATTTCATATTTGTAGCGATGTAATACCTCAGGGTGAAACTGCTGCTCGGTACGAGTGTGACAGTAACCACAACTGTCCTGGTGTTCACAAACTGAGGGATCTCCCCACTCGTCATTTGACTTGACCAAGGGACAGGGTGTCGACCTGTTAATCATTACCTTGTTACACAGTTGCGTTATTCTAGAGTTAAACCGTGTTATATTGTGTAACATTGAAAACTGACAATACTACTATGTTAATGGGGATAGTCCTGTAAAACGGGGCGTGTGCTGTAATAATCCCCAGTGTCCAGACCACGGGATATGTACGTAATTCAAAGATCTCGTGAGGGTGGGTTGACGAAGTTACGTAACATGTGCAGATTGTTGCAACAATAGAATAACGGCGGGAATTGTAACCAGAGTTGGGGAGGTGGCTACCTATATTTCCAGATCTTGGGGGACCTCCTTCTGTCCTTGTTATTGTGGTAGTTAGGACAAGCGTATCCCTGGCGACACAGACGGGCAGCCCGCTTACACGGCTCTGTTTTGTATGCCACCAACACGAACATTGAATCTGAAAAACATAGTCATTAGGAGTGTACTACTATGAAATATTTGTTATACTCACGAGTTGATAGGATGAGACACAGAGCTAACTTTAAATAAAACAATAAAATTAGTTGAGTCACATGTGCATGTTTTCATTACGCAAGCCTAGAAATTTCCGGTAACCAATATGCTGTGCATGATTAAGTGGTTTTCCGTAACTTAACAACATTACTCTACTTATATAATGTAATGTTTCCTTACACCGCATTATGTACACACAATGAACCAGGGATAATTATTTTATTAGTACGCTCTTGTGTGGGTAGGAGAAGAAAACAGGAGAATCACGTACAGTTTGGATACTACTGACACGATAATGGGGGTTTGTGTAGACAGTAGGCAAGTGCTGAGCCTGTGTACCTCGCTACTGTTCACCCATTATACATTCGAAAATTTACCACACACACACACGAGATGTATATACCCGCTTGCATGTCAAACTGGAGATCTATTTTAACAGTGGAGCATGCCCGGGCCTGCACACACACTACAACAGTAAGCAGATGAGTCTATTTAGAGTGGGCCGGCCAGCTGAAGGCCGGGAAGTGCTAGTACCGCTCTGGTCCCTCTCCCCTCTACCTGAATGTGTAACACTACAGTCACACACAGCTTTGAGAGTGTGCCGGACGGCAGCTGAAACTGAGGAAGTACTAGTACCGCTACCTCGCTGCACGAGCATGTTCAGCCTAGCAGCAACAGCGCCCGTCCAGCAACAGCGTATAAATAGCTCTGATCTTATGTGTGTAGGGGCGTGATGTAACTTGTCGATTGGCTGAAATGGCACGGTGATGCAATGTTTGCTGCTACGCTAGGTGACAACATGTAATCCAACATATTGTGGAGAACAGAAGTTGGAAAGAGTGAGGGTAAATGAGGGTTCGGAGAGAGAGAGAGAGAGAGGGAGGGAGAGAGAGAGAGAGTACGTGTTTGTGTAGGATGTAACCTAATCATTACCTTAACTAAGTTAACATATGACGTCTACCAGGTAAGTGCTGGATATGAATAACACCGATTGTGTCGTGTGTTAATCCTTGTTCAGAGATCATAATGTCACCCTACTCAGAGAAATGTAGGGCAAGTTAATGAACGGTGTGGATAACACAGGGACCTGCCAGGGGCTATTACCGGGGGTTGGTTACAATCCCGGAACCAAAATAACAGGGCTATATGACCAGCAACCTGCAACATCCTCCATCTTCCTGAGGTCATGTTTTGTCTGTGACCACCTTAGGTCATGGTTTTGTCTGCGATCATTGACTGTCTGGGCTAGCTACGGCCGTCCAGACTTAGACCACTCCAAAATGGTAATGACAACATCTCGTGCGATGTACTAATTTTAACAGTTTTAGTCTGCTGAGTCGTAACAATTAATGTGCTCTGTAAGAGCTAGTTAGACGACGGAAAATAGCGGGCTCGGATTGAAGAGTCGTCTCGGAGATTGGTCTTGGTGATTGATGAACCTGTCGGTACCGAGTGGTCTAGGTCGAGAGCTGGGCGGTCTAAGTCAGGACCCGCACGAAGAGTTGAGATGAAAAGTATGTGGCAAACATAAACATAAAGCGAATCAACACCTGAACGAACGAATTAAAAAGCCGAGAGAAGTAATTGAATACCGGTACGTGCAGTTCCCGGTTTAAAGTTTCCCTTTAAGTTCTCGGTTCAAGTTCCCAGTTAAAATAAAAGCCGACAGTTACAAATTGCAAACGGTTTACTGCCTCAGAGATAACCTCCCACTCATATATCATCAAACAGCGGCTAATCAATCAAGAAAACAGCTGCTTGACGGGGCGAGGAGCGAGCACACACAAGTTCTATCTCAAATTACCTTTCCACACACTGCCAGCTCCAGTTCCAGGTTGTGCCTGTTTGTTGGGGGGAGTGGTGGTTTCCTCTCTACACCCCACCGAGGACAGGACGATGGTGGGGGTCTGACAGAGGACTGGTGGAGCGGACTCCAGGGACGTCTTCCTGCTGGAGACCGGGGAGAGCCGGGGGCTGGTGTAGTAGGGAGCTACCGTGCTGTAGTAGTTGGAGGAGTACACAGAGGGCTGTTGTTGTTGTTGTGAGTTGTTGTTCTGTGGTGTGTAGTTCTGTGAGTTGTTCTGTGGGGGGTACTGTGAGTTCTGTGTTGTGTTCTGTGTTGTGTACTGTGTGTAGACGGGAGCAGGTGTAGAGCTTGTTAGGGGCGTGGTCTGTTGTTGTTGGCCGGACAACGAACCAGGTGGGCTGTTACTCCCCTCGCTATCCATCTCCTTGTAGATAATGTTGCTTACTACAAATCATTTTACATATTATATACTACTAATACTACTACTACAGCTAGCATCGGTAATTAATAGTCTCACTATACACAATACAAATCTGCAGCGGAGCATCAAGGTAACACTACATGTAGTCGAGTACATGTAACAATGCGCAACACCAACTCCAAACGACGACAACGTAGAAAACAGGAGCAGTAGCACACAACACGAGAAGAAAGAGAATCAAGGACACGCCAGCAAAGTGTATCAGGAACTGTGCAGCCGATGATCTAAATAGCAGGAGAAGGGAGTCCTGGACACGAGGTGTACGCCTAATAAGGACCTAGGTCATCAACTCTCTCACCGGGGAATTAGAGTGTGTCTCAATCTCAACACGTCATCAACTCCAAGATGACGTCAACAGAGCAGTATACTGGTCAGCCACCACACCCTATATAGTATTAGTAGCACGGTGCGTGTGCTGCTATGCCATATTGCGTTTGACTGCTCCTGTTGTGGTGCCTGTTTTTGGCAAGGTTTTACAAGCAGTTAATTTCGTCATCGCTTATGCTTTAGTGAGTTATCCTTACACGGAATAAATACCGAGCGTTCTTGACGGAGGACTACAGTGGGGAGTCACTCAAACCCACTACGGTAGTGACTAATGAAATCAGCCGGTGAAAATATGTGTCGTAACAAAGTTCTGGGGAACACTGTTCTCGAGTGTCGGCCGGGCAGCAGCTCAAGTGTGGTTGCTGGGCAATAATTCTAGAAAGTGCTCGTGACTAAAAAGCAGAAAGCGAGAGCTGGAAAGCGAGACGTTTCGAGAGGTATCGAGGAATGACGGAATGTGGGGACCATTTCTTTAGCAGCTGCCAAAACAACGAGTAACTTAATATTATATTATTCAATCGAAAGTTAACCTTTCTAGGAAATCGAGCACCATATATTGGGTTAACGAGGACGAGCTATCAAAAAACAAAGAGTAACAATGTAACTAAACTGTACGGGTTTAAATAACGCTTCAAAAACTAATCGACAATAGCAACAAGTTCTACGGAAAGGGGGTTGCTTGTGGCTTCCACTGCAGTTAAAGAGAGAAAACAACAGCAGGGGTCACATAAAGACTGCTTTATCAGAAATATATCGCCTAGTGAGACTGTCTTATCATCTCGTATCAAATGACAAGCGGAGACCTCATATATCACACCACACTAGCAACTACGTCGTGCAGTTAGCAGCCAGCCAGCCCCTCTCTTTCTCCCCTCCCTGGCGGACAGCACTCTTTGCTCTGGCCTCACGCTTCCGGGCCGGATACGGGTGTCGGGTAGAAGTAATCACCAGTGCCAGAATCAATGGGCACTTATAGTGTCGATAACAGAATCCTGACATGTGTATTGTGTACAAGTGAACGTGTAATTGTCAGAGTTGAATCAGGAAAAGAAAGACAAGACGAGAGATAAGGGTTGAAAAGTACGTGGCTCTGTTTTATATTTGTGTTAGCAGTGATATAAAGTAGGTCACGCACTCTCTCTCTCTCTCACTCTCTCTCTCTCTCTCTCTCTCTCTCTCTCTCAAATCGTTATCTTCGTTTTCAATTATCAGACGTGAGACGTGTATATTGTGAGTTAAGGCCGGCTTTCACTTTGTTTTCATATAATATAGCGCCACGTATATATTCCCGTGATTTTGTGGTTCCGTTTTTGTTCCATTTCCGTTTCCAAAACCAATTTTTGGAAATGACCTGTAATCTTAGGCGATGATCGAGGTTGTGATCGAACTGGACAAAAAATTTCCCGGAACTTGGCACCTGATTTCTGTTACTAGGCAGAATCAAGTTGCTAATAGCACGTTGAGCAAGAGCGGAAAGCAAAGAATTTAACTTACAATTATATATAATACAACAGTTTTAAAAACGAACAATTGAAGACCTATACCTCTATATTGAATGTGATGACAAAAATTAAGTAAGGCCGGAAATTGTCGATGAATCGGCAAACAGGAGGTGTCGATTAATGCGGTTCTAAGTGATGATAAAACACATAAAAGTAGCAGTAAAAGTGCCACAAGAGATAAGGGAGACACGTACCTGCCCACCGAATGTCCTCCTGCATCTTCTTCTGGGCCTCCATGGCCCCCTGACTGTTCACCAGAGTGTTGTATATCTCCTCCTTGCCTATCGTGTTTCCCTCCTCTATGTTCTGAAATTGTAATAATTGTAAGCGCCAAGTTTTCGGGTTGGAGTTAATATTTAATTCTTGATTAAGGGTTGCGGGGGCATCTTGCGGGGCTGAGAGGAAGCATTTATCTTTTAATTTTACCGCGTTGAAATTTTTAAACGATACTTAACATAAATTTCTGATCGAATTGTGCTGAAAGTTGTCTGGCACAAACTATTAACCCAATTTAATTATTTGAGACAAAATCTGCGAAGTGGGTGTAATTGGATTAACTTAATTTCGAGATAGCAATGGTAAACAAGCTAGGGAGTGGCCTACTCAGAGCGAGAGCCTAAGGTTAACAATAACTGCTATCTCGACATATCAAATTAGTTTTCTGAGATTGCATCTCCCATGCTCTTGTCTAAAACACCACCAACAATTTAGTAAGTTTTTAACGCAAAGTTGGTGGGTGGAGGTCAATGGAAAAAATGACAAAACTAAAATATTTCATATATGTCCCACCTAATAGACTAATCATTCAATAGACTGAATGATTAAAATACGACAATTGAGAATTACAGATATTAATGGCGAATGATAACAATCTCCCCAAAATGATTGTTTTAAATTCCCTTTTATTTGTATTTTTCGGTAAAATACAAACGGAATTCGGTAAACTGATTTAGGAACGGCCCCTTTCACTCTCATTTCCGAGCCATTTTTTAAATCTGCAGAAAGTAATCTTAGATGTAAGATGGGACTTGGGAGTCAAATTACTGAGAAAATATGCATTTTTCTAAGTTGTGAATATAATACTATTTCCTGACTTCTCCTCACAGGAATATTACAATCGCATAATTTAAGATGCACATAATAAGAAGAATAATGCTGAGAGCTAAATATTCACTAGCATTTACCAGCCTATATACATGAATATCGATTATGACACAACAAATAAAATGTTGAATATTACAAAATTGAACAATTTCATTATTTCATCATTTTATTATGGCGCACATAAGTCATAACTCAATTACATCTCCCCAAAATACCTACGTACTTGAAACTGCTGAAAAAAGGGTTTCATCAGAACAACCATTCTCTCTGTTCCAGGACATCCAGCCAGCTGACATACCACTTGCTGTTCATATTTCACACTTGATGATGGTACGTGATAACACCTTCTTAAGAGATCCTCGCGAGTGTACGAGGCGTTTGTAGTAGGGGAGAGAGAGAGAGAGACTGGGGACTTGTGTGTGTGTGTGTACACCCGCACTGTTGTCTGGGTGTTTGCCCGGTGGTTTAGCGGCCTCTCTTCTCAAAACATGGCATCCAGCTGTTATCACAATGATTGCCAGGTTAATCATTGTGTTGTAATGTAACGTGCAATATACAAATTATTGGAGTTTTATATAAAGTGTGACCTACAGATGATGGTAGATCATTATGTGAGTTGTAGTAAAGTGTAGTAGAGATGATTGACAGATGATTGATCATTTAATAAGAGTGTACAATGTGCTGATAATCTGATAGGGATGTGCAGAAACTATCATTAAATTTCAAGCAAGAAATTACATAAATTTATTATACTTTTTGCTGACAAAGAAATAGGAAAACTTTTCAGGAGTCAGCGTCACATACCGCGAATAACTCATATCGGTAAAAATATTGCCTAACTAAACCCGAATCTACATGGAAAATGTTAAAAACTTTGTAACATGTTAAGGTTGTCCGTTTCCCAACTAGGTTGCCACGTTTAACAGGCCGTGATGTCAGCAAATTTAACGGAGTCGCAGGGGACCACAAAATCAAAATATAACAACGTAATTTCTATTTTTAAGTATCACGTGATGATGATTTGGATAATGCAAGGACAGATGGCCACGTTGGCAACACAAAGAAAACTAAAAATATCCGCAGAATTTGGCTCACGACCCGGTCCCGGCACAATGGATAGCTAGTAGCTACCTAAAGTAACAATGATCGACTTAAAAAGGCTGTAAATATGTTATGTCGAAGAGCCTGGCCGTTAAATTTTGATATGAAATAATGAGGGTCCAGTTAATGAGAAACTTAAAACTTTGATTCGATTAACGGTAAATTGATTAAAATTTATTTCCGTGTGTATCGTCATGTTGTAAGAAACGTAAAACGAAATGTTAATTACCTGGTGCAATCCGATATACATATAGCAGCCATGTAAGTGTAGCTGCGACTAATTCAAATGTACATAAATCAATATCGTGAATGTAATAGTTTAAAAGTTTTAAACTCAAAAACGTGTACGTGTTCGGTAGAGCAAGTATTGTCTCTCTGCATCCTATCTTCAATTTAAAAGCGAGATAATTGGACCAATTAAGTGAATGAAGAGAACATCAAGTAGCAATCGTTGCCATGGCAACAAGGATGTTGCTTTGGCAAAATTAAGGCATTACGTCAGGCCAGGGCTAACAAGAAAATCAGCACATGAATTAGAGATGTCATCATTTTCTGTGGAAACGTGTACTTTCCCACAGGCCAGACTATTGTCGGGGGAAGGTTAATACGTGGCACTTTTAGCACTTTTAGCAGACTTTGTGGCTATGGGACCGGAAACGGATGAAGTGCCACTTTCAGCAGAATCCATATTATGTAATTGTTGGATTTTAAATTCACCTTGCTCACTATTATCAGGCTACATGTCCAAATTAAATTTTTCCGAAACCTCAGTTTTTTGTCACTCTGCAAGAGTGTGCAGTGCTGTCATAGTTATGATTCTTTAGATGCGCCGTATATTTATATTTTTGCATTTAAAATTTAATTTTATTCCAAGGACTATGAAATACCGGGGTACTACTTGATCTGCAATTATATTATGTAGGAGAATCCGCTGGAAAGTTGTGGCTCAAGAGGACCTTCGAATTGTCTTCCTAGACTTTCAACTCGCAGTTAAATCGGTTTGAGTGTGCATGTTTAACCAACAGTGCTCAGTGATACCGGTTCTTGAATCCAGATATTCATAAGAAATATTCAAGTGTGTCACAATACCCCAGGGGGAGGGGGGCCAGGGGCCCACCCCAGGGTTCGTAGCCAACAAAGCAATTGGGCAGGGAACAACATTTTACAAGTTGCAGAAAACAGTAATGGTTATAAATAAAAGTCACTTATCAAAAAGGTTTTCACTTATTCAAACTTGAAACAGTATGAAGAATATGTCGATTTAGATTTACAATTTGTCATGTTGTCAAATCACAAATATATCGGCTGATTTTTGGTCAATTTTAAGCAAAGGGTAACAATAAGGGATGTCCAATTCAATGTGTCAAGGGGATGCAAATTTGAACTAGGAGACAAAGTTATATGATTAATTACTTTTTATGTAATTAAATCTGAGTTTTAAATAATTGAATGTTCACCCGACAAATAACCGATCACAAGAAAAGCTTTCCAAAGAATCTGAAAAATAACGCGTCATTTTACAAGAACATTAAGAAGATTAATAATAGAAATTACAAATAAAATGGTGCGTTCAAAAATTACAATGACGAAAAGTCGCCCACTTAAACTAAAAAGCGTTTTTCCTCTAATTAGATGTTTCCTCCCTCAACACAATATTAAACAGATCACGAGGAAAAGTTTGCTAAATTTCATGAATGACACAATCTTCAAAGAATGGTACAAAAACGGTTAACAAAAGAAATAACAATTTAAAAGGTACTATAAAATCACAATGAAAAGCCGACCACTTGAAAGAGTTCCTCAGAATTCAATGATTTTTTCCCAAAACAGCACTGGACAAATCACGAGGAACCCTTTCTCTATGAATGGCACAATCTTCAAAGAATGGTGCAACAACGATTGACATCAGTTTCATGATTTTTCTTAGCACGTTACTATGATGAAAAGCCGACCACATTAGGAGATTGAATATCAGTTTAAGTGACCATATGATGGAGGTAGTCCACGGAAAAACTAATCGTTGTAAAGAACCACTTCAGATCATAAGCTATGGTGTTTTTGTGCTGAAACTAACAGTACCAGCCACTCGCTACACCAACTTCTTAGCACACATGTGTCCAAATGTATCTACATTCTATACATTATTTATGACTACAGCAGTGCGTGAGCGGTGAGTGCGAGCTTTATTCTATATATCAAATCAGATACAAGGTCCATTAAATACTTTAGTTGTACATAGTAAGTTGAGTGTGGTGAGGGCGGGTCCCTTGTTCTGAAGATGGTGCATTGACCAGCCAGCCACCGCAGATCACCATCAATCACGCATCACCATCCGCCCGGAAATGGCTTAGTACCGGAAACAAAAATCACTATTGAATTAATTCT